GGCTTTTCCACGCTTCTGATGGACCGCTTATGCTTGTAGCCGAATGAGAAGAAAGAACACCGGACAAATCCTTCTTGTGATAAGCTTTGGCCCCGAGCAATGCCCGGGAGGCTTTTTTATTAGTCCCAAACAAAGGAAAGGTGTATACAAATTACATCAACAGGCACATGACTAAATAATCCAATAATAATAATGCTGCGTGGCAAAAAGCTTCGTCTCTGGGCAAAAGAGTGAGTGAAAAGGGGGGCTGCTTCTTCCCTGGGCAGGAGAAGAGAGATAAGGAATAGGGAGGGGGGAGTGGAGGAAAGTGAGCAGCTCGCATTCCTGCCTTTGAAATGCTAACTGCTAGATAGATGCTGGTACAGAAAGGCGCGCTAATTAATAGGAAGACTTACGTATTGCTAACAAGAATGTTTTTGTTAGCATCCATCTCTGGGCCTGTGTTTTCCAGACAGCCTTAGCCGTCCTATACACAGAAGTGGCAATGGATCTCAACAGCATGTAATGAGTCTATCTCATTAGTTTCACCTTTGAAAGTAGCACTACTGAAATAAATGAACTTTTGCACGATATTCTAATTTTTTGAGTTTCACCTGTATTTCTTGCTGTTTTAAAAAATCAAGCTTTTTGCACCCACGTGAGGAAAACTCCTGATCCTGCAGTCAGAAAAATGGGTGCTTTGAAGGCCAAATATTTTTGTCCTGCTTGGCGCCCCTTTGTTGCTTGAAATGGGGTGCTCAGTTTGGAGGGGGGATGCAGGAGATCCAAATAAGAGGCAGGCTCAGCCTCCGCTGGGATGGAGCAAGCAGAAGGAAAGGCAAGAGCGGGGGGGAGGATAGGTCCTACGGGAGATGGCGACCCCCCCCCTCCGCCGGCCCTTACCTGGAAGGCGAGTCAGAAGCAGCCCCAGCTGGACCAGCAGCCATCACTTGGCAGACGCTTCCATTCCATCCCTGACAAAAAGAGGGGGAGAGAAACCCGGGTGGGATTCCACACAGAGGGTGCACGCTCTGGTGCTGCGTGATGACACGCGGGCTTGTACGTCCAAAGGAGATAGGCGAGGGCCATGGGAGGTGGGGAGGTCTTTCCCAAGTGCCGGAAAACATGCTTCTTTGGTCACCCCACAGCGAGACTCGGGGGCAAGGTGGAAGAGCGACTGAAGAGGCTGGCCGGGGCCACGAAGTGGAAACTCTTCACCCACCCTACCTCCGGGCGCGCCTACTAATCTCGGCTGGCAGCTTTAGATGAGCCTCTCTGGGCAAGCCCTGTCTACCTGAGGAGGGGCGGGGCTATAACCTTGCAGGCCGAAGGAGCTCCGCCTTTGCCTCAGGAGAGGGTCGGAGGGGCATCCGGAGAGTCGGGACTTTTTTAAAACGCCGCCGGATGTGGGACAAAATTGTTCAAAAGCAGGACTGTCCCACCAAAAGCGGGACGTCTGGTCACCTTAATTTTGCCAGGAAAGGTACGTAAGGCCGGCTCAAAAGGCATGCCCCCTCCTAACCGTACCGACGGGCTCCGAATCCAATGGTGATGTCCGTTTTGCTTTGTGAATTAATGGAGAGCTAAACCTAACCCTAAGTGGAATTTTCGCGAATGGGATTTTCCCATGTATTTTTCCATGAAATGAACAAAAGCCAAACTCGAAAAGTAAGTACTCCCATAAACATACCATTGCCCTCTGAATTCATTGGGGATGTCCATTTTTCTGTCCATGTTGGCCTAACCAACATGGTGGATTTTTCCTCCAATGGGATTTTTCTATGTATTTTACCAGGAAATGCAGATAGATCAGATTTGAAAAGTAAGTGGCCTCCTAAGCGTACCATTGCACTCAGAATTTATTGGCGACATCCATTTTTCTGTCTGAATTCATGGAGGCCTAACCCTAACTATAAGTCGATTGTTTTCCTCCAATGGGATTTTATCATGATTTTACCAGGAAATCAAGAAAAGCCAGACTCAAAAATTAAATGCCCTCCTAAACATACCATTGCGCTATCATTGGCGATATCCACGGAGGCCTAACCCTAATCCTAAATGGATTTTTCTGCAAATGGGATTTTACCGTGTATTTTACCAGGAAATCAAAAAATTACAGACTTGAAAAGGAAGTGCCCCCCTAAAATACCGATGCGCTTCAAATTCATCTGTGATGTCCTTTTTTCTCTCTGAATTCACAGTGTCCTAACCCTAACCCTAAGAGGATTTTCCCACCAATGGGATTTTCCCATGTATTTTACCAGGAAATATAGAAAAGCCAGACTTGAAAATTAAGTGCCCTCCTAAACATACCATTGCGCTCCAAATTCATTGGCGATGTCCATTTTTCTATCCAAATTCAAGGTGGCCTAACCCTAAGTGGATTTTTCCATCCTGATTACTGAGAACCAAGCGTTGTCTCAAAACCCAGCCACCCTGAGTGGGCATGGAGCTACTCCCTGAATTTTGGAGAGAAAACATGCACTTTTATCTTTTCAAAGGGGCTTCTTGGTTTTCTGAAAATACAAATCACCAAGAAATTCAGGCAAAGCTAAAAGTGTTCGGGTTGAGTTGTTATAGTGTAAAGAAACAAACGACCCGCACATTGTGTACATGTGATGCATCAATAAGTAAGTGATCAAACAATACAATATACAGATTGCCTGTGAGGTTTAATCAACGGAAAGTATTCTTTCTAAGTAACATTCTATGAGTGATAAATGTATTGGTTACAGTACTCTCTCCCAGTTAGTTTTGCATCTAGGTGTGAAGATTTTCAGTATCTGTTTTCTATTGTGTAGTTGCTGAAAAGACAAGTTCTATTTTACCAACTTTTTAAAAACCCAGTGAGCCAAATTTCTACAATTTCTACAAAATCAAAATCAGCAAGGCGTTAACTTTACTACGATCACAATTTTTAAGCAGATAAACCTCAACTCTTACATTTCACGCCCACACTTTATTGAGTGTGACTAACTGCCTTCTGGGCAAAACTAAAGATCCCAGTCATGTCCTTCAGAACTGCCAATGGCTTGGTGACTATTGGGCAATTGCACTCCCACCCTCTTGCCCAGCTGTGAATCTGCACAGCAAGCCAGACCCGCCCGGGAGCCTGGCTTTCTGGAAGGGAGATTGCGGGTGGCTGTTATTAAACCGCACACATTTGTAACATTCATCTTCCCAGTGTGGGATAGTGCTACTTTCAATATGATAAAAAGATGCCCAAGAATATTGATTTCCAACTATATAGCAAAACAATTACATTTTCTATTTAATTTTCCTTAGGGACTAATCCTCACTATTAAAAATAATCAGGGATGCCCATATTCAAAAAAATAGGAGTATAATAAATGCAGAGACAATTTTAGAGCTGTGGCATGTTGGGGACACAAATAAAGGAAATACAGTTTGTAAAAATATAGTATATAATGAAATAAATCCTTCCAATCGCTGGATTTCTATTCCTGTTATTCTATGGGGCGTGTAGAAGTTTGAGTGCATTAACATTTCAGAGCGACAAATTCTCAACCCCTCCAACCAAGCATGATTCTTTATCAGTAATATTACAGTCCTGTATATGAAAGAACGCTTAGAAAAACAAAAAGCGAGGAGGCATTTGGTAGCATATAAAAATTATAACCATACACAGATGAAAACTAGTCTGGAAGTTATGCATTATTAATTTGAAAAAGCAACAAAATATACAATTCCTTGGTTTGATAGAACTCAGATGTATTGAAACCAACAAATCTTTTCACGGTATTTGATAAATGAACAAAGGAATATTTGAATTAGTTTTCACGAAACAATGCCCAGTGAAATTGGCTTCTCCGATTTGGTAATATTAGATCTAAAGACAAATCTTTCTGCTCTTTCTCAGAATTTACAAATTGATAACCGAGTATATTTAAAGCACCTCTACAAACTTCTTGTACTTTTTGGACTTTCTGGAATGAAAGAACATTTCTCCATGCCTGGGAAACATTGAGCGCGTCTCGAGAAGTGATCTGGAAAGCTTCTTTCTTCTTACTCGGTCCTTGTCCGTGTGTAATATTATAGATCCAATTCTCAAGTTTCTGGGTCGATGGAAGATCTGTAAATGTATACATTGCAGTAATTTCCATTAAAGGATCCCGTACGATGTCTTCATATCGGATCAATAAATAACGATCTTTTAAAAATAATGGAGGCTTCTGACTAGCTGTTTCATAGATCTGAACGTGGCTTCTACAAATTTTCTGCAGGACTTTAAAGCCACCATCATCCACTCTGCTGCTATTTATGCCCAGAATTATTCCATTGTCACGGGCAAGGGCTTTGACAGACTGTTCCCGAGACTTCAGGACAGCCCTTGGGTCACGGACCAGATGTATGATTTTGAGGTTCAGAGAGGGGTCAGCAAGGAGTGGATAGAGGACTTTGAGGTCAAAGAAACGGACTTCCTTTAGGACAACGTGGCTATAGGTTTTGCAGGCCTCTTCCGCTTTACTGAAAGGATACTTGCCGCAGAGAGTTTTGCAAGCACTTTCCCCAGTAATATCAGTCCGTTGAAAGAATTTACAAGCAGGCGCTGTGCATAATGCCCGGCTCACAGCCCACTGGAACAGATCAGACAAATTTCTGTTTCTCTTCCAGGGCATGTAGGCGTCAAACACTGACATGTCACACTTGAAGACAGACCGGATGAGATCCCGCACTGCCATGTGCAAGACCGTGGCGCTGTTTTGGTACATGGTTGCCCATACATGCCAGGCTGGTTCCATTAGATAGAAGACATTGGGATGCTGACTGAAGAGTTGCCCCACAAAGGAAGAGCCTGATCTCCAAGAGGAAAGGATGAGGATGTGCACCTGGGCGGGTTTTTCCATAGACTGAGGAATGAAGCCACCTTGTTGAGTATATAGAAAGACTAGGAATCCTGTCTGAATTGCCAAGATAACTGCAACTGTGGCATTGGAAAGGCGGAGCCTCAGCATCCTGGGTGAAGCTGAATATGACTGGAATGATGGAGAGAAGATGATCGCCGCTTTTTAAAGCATCAGTTTGATGGAATTAAGCTTTAGCAGTTTTACAAATTACAGATTGGGTTCTGGATAAATGATGGAGAATCCCAGATTACCGTGTTATGGATCCACAATGATGAGAAAAGCTAAAAGAAATGTGTATATGGGGTATTAATATACAAGTTAGATAATAATTCTGCTATTCCAATTTATATGCATTCTTTACTCTAGCAACAATGGAAGTATATTTTCCTCTATGCAGCCTTAAAACTCATATGGACAGAATTCATCTCTAATATTACAGGAGTGAAGAAATTTAAGAGTTTGGGGTTCAGGTTTCCTTTAGCTCTCATAAAGCAAGTAAAATACAAAAGGGAAATATTTCCTCTTTGGGTACAAGAAGAATTTAACAAGAAAAATGTTCTTGGGTACAACAATTTTAAATACCTGAGGCGAGGCCGGTGGCGCAGGGGTTAGAATGCGGTATTGCAGGCTAACTCTGCTCACATTGCCAGGAGTTTGATTCCATCTATGCTGAACGGTTCAAGGTTGACTCAGCTTTCCATCCTTCCGAGGTGGGTAAAAGGAGGACTCAGATTATTGGGGGCAAGAGGCTGACTCTGTAAAGTGCTTAGAGAGGGCTGGAAAGCACTGTGAAGCGGTATATAAGTCTAAGGGCTATTGGGAAAAATTCTTCCGTGTTCTTGGCCAAAAGTCTCTCCACAACTGCTTTTGAAGGGAGGGGGCTAGTTTTAGCTGCAGCCGTTCACACTAGGTTTGGGCTTCGGAGCTCGGCCCCGCCCGGCCCTGGAATTTAGCCTAAAATCGCGGAGCGGATGCGGGAGGGAGGATTCCGGGCTTGCGATAGCGCAGCTGTTTTAGAATTGTGCCGGCCGGCACCAAGGCGCCGGTGCGGACGCTCTTCCCCGTCCCTACTCAGACGCTCGCCCCCCCCCCCCCGTGCCCTCCAGGTTTGCATGGCTCCCGGTATTGCAGGCGCGACTGTCCGCCAGCGCAACTTGCTAACCTAGCTGATTGAGGTACCCGCGGGCAAGAAGCTCCGCGTCCCGGTCGGAGGAAGAGGGCGCAACAAGACCGTCGCTCATCCCGACACCTGGAATCGCAGCCTCTTTTCCAGCCGCTCCACCCGCCCGGCACCAGCCCACCCCGGCCCCTAACCTCAGTATCTGTCGGCGGGCGATTAGAGGTCGCAGCTAGCCCGGAGGCGGCAGGAGGGTGAGGCTGCGGCGCCGGCTCCGCATACAATGAGCGGCATTCAGACGTGGCTTTTCCTCTACGGCTGCGGGGAGGGGGCGGGAGGCGCCAATCAGGGGCTGGCCCTATGGAGGGTGGAGGCGGTGGGCTGCTTCTTCCCTCCTGGAGGGGTGGCCGGCTGCAGTGCCCAATGGACGGGCTCCCTCCCTGCAGTCCCACCGTCGCGGCGAAACCTCAGTGCCGAGAAGCCTTAGAGCCAGTTGAGAAAAGGAAGCTTCCCCCACGCGTGTCCTTAAATCCACAAAACAGCTTCACCAGGTGACACCAAGTTGTGGGAGAAGTTTTGCTTTCCTCTTTATTGCTGATGTTTGCAAGGGATGAGGAAGTTTGGCAAAAGTGGAAAGGTGGCCAGTGGGCCAATTTATTTAGCCTTACATTTGTATGTTAACAAACACATATTAAGGTGCTCTTTATTGCTTAGCACAAAGGGATAAGGATGGAACCTGGCCTCAACTTGCAATTGATTGAAATGTTTTAATACAATAAGAATAAGAATAGAATAGAGAATGCAGAATAAAGGCTTTGCCACTTTAAATGTACACTAACCAGCATACGTGAAAATAAAATTTTGTGGCACGGTTTTCAAAAGATAATCTGTTGCAATACGCGCAGGCATACATTAGCTATGCTGAAACGTGTATAGAATAGAAGCAATTGATACAGCATGGGTTGCACAGGTAAACCCACCAGTGGCTGGCCAGGTTAGGTGGTCTTAATAGAATTGACCTTATAAATTCATTTTAGTTTGGCTTTTGGTCCAGTGCCCTAGAGTCCCAAAGGTGACTTTTAGCTGCAGTGAACCTTGTCCCCCACATCCTCATAAGTATTACAAATAGGGCTGAACTGTGTGGCAAGACCCTGTAAAGTGGAGCCACAGGAAGCCAGATGTGGGTGAGAGATAGAGCAGAAAACTGTTGGTATGAATATCTGCTTTTGTATTTTTCCAAGATGTACTTCCCTGTTCTGAACAGGGGTTT